TGGATCTCTAATAATCTTCTCCCTGCTCTCACTGGTTAAATCTTCCTCCTCCGTCATTTCTTCTTTACCTATGGAATCCTAGTTTTCCTTCAAGATCCAGAACAAACACACCCAGCCCTGACTATCCCTGGATGGAAATCAAAGGTCCTCACCCAGTCCCAACACAAGGCAGAGTCCTGTCTTCTGTCCACACAGCTTCTCTTTCCCCATTCCCAACATAAGGCAGAGTCCTGCCTTTCATCTGCACAGCCTCTTCTCCCACGAAGCACAGTGCTAGAGAACCGCTGCCCCTGTGAACCCCACCTAATTCTCACATGCACATACAGGCTGAACTAGAATATGGTCAGTGATTAAGGCAGTTGCAGCCAAGCCCCAGGTCCTGAGTTCAATCCCTGGAGCTGAGTTTCTAGAATCCAGGAGGGGTAAGAAATTAGGATGTCTATTAGAGGATGGGGTTCCCTACCTCTTACAGAGATGGCCATCCTCTCTTCGAGAGAAGGGTTGAGCACAGTGTAGCTAGAAGCCACGAGAAACTTTGCAGGGATCTCAAGAATTTATTTAGGTATAAAATGGGGTAAACACTCACTAATACAGAATGGTTCAGATGTCGCTGCTGATCCTGGTGTCTTCATCCAGTTGTTCTGTCCTGGGTGAAGAGCAAGGCACCTGCTCCGTTCAGACCACCCATGAGAGTTCGGGAGCAAGACAGTGCGAGACCCTCTCCCTAAACTTTTAAGTTGTCATGTGCACAGACAAGACCAGGCCCTAGAATTTGTAATCCCCAAAATCCAACGGCTAAAGGGATTGAAATCCCACACTTTCCCTTTTTTCTAAATAAGAAGGTTTTAATTCTAACATAAAACTATATGCAATTATAACAACTATCAAGCCTGGTGTAGGTGGCACACGCCTTTAATTCCAGCACTTGAGAGGCAGAAGCAGACAGATCTTTGTGAGTTTGAGGCCAGCCTGGTTTACAAGAGCTAATTCCAGGACAGACTCCAAAGCTACAGAGAAAAAAAAAGAAAAGAAAAACTATCAAGTATTGTACAGAAGAAAGAAAATGTAGTAATATAAACAAAGATGAACTACAACCAACAAAAACAACATCAAGCAAGAAACACATTTTAAATATCTAGGCCATAGGTAATTGACAAATAAAAGAGATTATTCCAATATCTGTCCCATACTGAGGAGTCTAAATCTTGTACCTTTTATGCCCTAGCTATGATATGAGAGGATTATAACTGTGACTCTCTAGCCTTCAACTCCCATCAAAGACCTGAGAAGGAAAATAATATTATCTGAGTAAGCAGGAAGTGCAAGCAAATAACTTCCCAAAGATGCAAGAAATGACAGAAACAACTGGCTGCCTGGACAGTCACCCAAAATCTCTCTGCAACATTTGGGCAACCAGCTTTGGCTACAGGCCTAGAATATCTGACAGACTATTTTCAGAAGCAGAAATATTTATAATTGTCTTGTCAAGGTTCAGCAGTCACTTTTCTTTGTATCCTGATTGTCCAGATTGGACAGCATGGCCAGTTTGCCAAGAAGAAAACAAGCTCCATATGGCGTGTCTTTGGTGTCCATCACTCTCTCGGGAGTAGGCTGATGCTGCCAGGTGCAGTTGTGTCTCATATCAACAGAATTCTAAGTTATTAAAACATTTAATGCCATTTTCTGTAGGTCTTTGAAGTGTTTGAAGATCACCTGGCTATATGGAATACATCTTTATGCATCTAGAGAGCCTAACTAACATAAGTAAAACAAACGTGGGTGACTATGAACCTGTATTTCTTAACAATCTATACCTATAGTTTAAAGACTAAAGCTTCGTATTATAAAAATAAACAATCTTTAAACAGATGCACAGCATGAGGACAATGACCTCAAAATTATGACAATATACAAAAATATCTTAATCAGAGGTAGAAATGTATAGTGCAATATGACAACAATATCCATAAATTGTATCAATATACAATATATCTTAAACAGAAGTAGAAACATACATACTTTATGATATAAATAATTTTACATTTGTATCAATGTACAAAAATATTGCAAACAGAAATAGAAATAGAAATATGTAATGTTGAAATTGTGTCAATATACAAATTATATTAGATGGGAATGCAAAAATAATTTTATGTATCTATCAATATACAAGAATCTGTACCAAATGAGATTATTTAAATAATAGTAAATTATCTAAAACTAATACTTGCTATTACTATTAATTTAAAATAGTTTACAAGTAGATACACTAATCTACCTTATCATCCTATCCTATTTCCTCTTAATCTATACCAAATGAGATTCCTAAGTCTAATCATTATTATTCCACCCCCAAACCTATTATAACTTATAACCAACTGTGAGAAAAACCTAAACCATCCATCCCATCTATTGGGAGAGGGGGCATCATTTTCTTAGAATTACTTGCAGCTGTCCTGGAGTCGATGGTATCTCTATGAAATTCTGTAAAAACTAAAGCAATGGTTAAGTCTCAAGAGAACCATCTGTAACATTTATAGCCAATCTCTAGTAATGGGTAAGGTTTATCTGAAGTTTTTATCTGCAGTTCTGGCTAGAGTGTTGTAAGAAGGTGGACTATCTCAGCTAGCCACCTTGGAATTGTCTTGAGCAGTTTGTAGTCCAAAGTTAATCTTTGGGTAGTATTTATTGGCTCAATAACATCACTATGAACCAGGTAGAATCATTGTTGTGAGGCCCCATCTTCCTTCTGGAGACTTCAGAGACTGCTGTTAGGAAAATTTATTGTTCATTGTGGAAAACTTAAACATTATTAATATCAAAATGGAAAGTTTAAAATTTAAGACAGTGCTATATCTAAAGAAAGGTTCTACAGAGTCAAAAATAAGTATGGGGAGAAATAGAATTTGGGGGGATAGCAGAGTTTAGACAACAATAGTTCCTAGATTTTTGGTTTTTTTCTGTCCCATACCAGGTGGCTGTTCTGATATGAGACAGAAGCTCTGAATTTTTATTTTAACAATATGCTTGGCTTTAGAGAAGGAGAGAGCCATGCTCCAACTCCCAAACCAGCTTTGGTTTTTAATTGTCTCAGGACTACAATTTTTCTAAGAACTAAAGGGATAAAATGTTCAGGTGGGGAGATTTTACTTTACAAAGGATATTGGTACCATAGATCAGATTTTTCTTTGCTTGGTAAATTTTTCTGGATAGCTTTTCCTTCTTCTTTAGGTGTCTAGATGTCTAAGATCTTTTAATTTTTTTGAAGGTGGGTATCTCTATTTTCTTGTAAAGACAAAAACAAAACAAAACAAAAAAAAACAAAAAAACCCTCTGTCCTGGCCTTTTTTTGTAGTTTTCCTTTTAGCATGTCACATTTGTTGGTGAAGTATTATTTCTCCTTGTTAAGAGGTCTCTCCTGTTCTAATCAAAACTTTATTGATTTTGATGGTATCCATAGCTCTTCTTCTCCTATGGAAGTAAAAGCAAAACCCCTTTCCCAATGTAACATATGTCCTGGTTTCCATTCTGAGGACAATACATTTTTAAAGTACACAGGTGGTGTATCTTTAAAATACTGGGCAGTGGTGGTGTACACCTTTAATCCCAGCACTCAAGGAGGCAGAGGCAAGAGGATCATTGTGAATTCTAGGCCATCCTAGTCTACAGAATGAGTTCCAGGACAGTCAAAGAAACACAGAGAAACCCTGTCTTGAAAGACCAGAAATAAATAAATGAAATACACAGGCTGATTTAATTCCAACGTTTTTTCTATTGTCCAATGTCTCTCTGCAGCTGTTGTTCTTTCCTCATTAGCATTAAGAAAATTCAAAGCTAATAAGGCATTATGCAATCTATCTCTGGGGGAATCTTAGTTCCATCTACCTGTTTATTAAGCATTTCTTTTAAAGTGTAATTAGATCTTTCTATAACCACTTGTCTTGTAGGATTGTGCGGTATACCTGTAATATGCTTTAGATTATAACATTCAAAAAACTGTTTCATTTTACTAGAGACATATGCTGGAGCATTATCAGTCTTAATATGTACAGGTATCTCCATGATGGCCATGACTTCTAGTAGGTGTGCAATTACAGAATCAGCATTTTCAGAATTTAAAGTTCTGAAATTCTACTGAAATCCTAAAAACATATCTATTGTATGGCAGCCCCACATTGGGTGCCACTTGTAGTGAGAAGCCACAAGAGTCTGTTACATGTTCTTGAGAATTTATCTAGGTATTAAATAGGGGTAAATACTCACTGATACAGAATGGTTTAGATATCACTGCTGATCCAGCTGCCTTCAGTCATTCTGACCAGGGGTGAAGAACAAGCTGCCTGTTCCATTCTGACCAACCAAGAGAACGTGGGAGCAAGAGGGCATGAGGAACTCTCCCTAAGTTTATAAGTTGTCATGTTCACAGACAAGACCAGCCCTAGGATTAGCAATTCCCAAAAGTCATTGGCTAAAGGGATCAAAATCTCACAACAACGCAGAGACGATGAGGGAGTCCCAAAACTCACCTAGACAGAAGACACTCAACACCTCACAAGCCAGAGGATGGCCTCAGGTTGGATGTCTGACTATAAGGGACTATGACCTTAATTTTTTTCTGGTGTCAATTAGGGGGAGAAAGTGGGCATGGATAGAGGTTCGAAGGAAAGAGGAAAAGAAAAGAGGAGGGGCTGGCATTTTAACCAGGGGGCAATTGGAAGAACAAACCCAAGTATTTTGAGAGTTGCCCTTGCTATGACCCAGGAAATCCACAATCCTCAATCCAGAGAGCTGGCAGAGAAAAGGTGAGTGGCAGAAATTAGGGGAGGTTCAGAAACAGGGCAAAACTAACTCAGGGACACCTCAGGATCCAAGGGTTAAGTCTGGATGAGCTGTGACTGCATCTGCTTCCTGAGTTACAAGAGGGTCTTTTGCTCCAAGTGCCTGATCTGGGATTGAGAGCCATGTTAGGAAATGACATGGAAGAAGTCAGGAGACTGGACTCCAATGCAGGCGGGTTTATTTCAGAGAACCTGAGAGGAGCTCACACTGAGCGAGCATGCCTCTCTGACAGACCAGGAACCTTTACCAAGCTAGGAGGGGTCAAAAAGAAGGAGACTGATCGTTCAAGCGAGTAACTAGTTCTTCTTTGCAGACAAGGTTGGCCTTTTGTAGTCAGGTTGTGTCTCAAAAGTAAACATGGGATGTAGAGCACAGCTGTGTTCTTGGGATCAATCACGGTCGGTTTAAAACACTGGAGAGTCGTCTCATCACTCTGCAAGAGCAGTTAAGAGTTGTCAGACACTGAGTCTCCAGCCCACCTTCCTGAAACCAGCACCCTCTTTTTTCTCAAGGCAGGGTCTCACCATATAATTCCAGCTGTTCTGGAACTCACTGCATAGACCCGGCTGTTCTCTAACACAGAGATCAGCCTGTCCCTGCCTCCCAGATTCTGGAATCAAAGCCTTTGTCACTACACCCAGCTTCTCCAGCTGCTTTTGCACCCATTTTGACCAAATTCTTGCATCAATGTTCCAGGAAATAGTATATTTCTAAACCCGAGTTGGGTTCTTTGTTTTGTTAGGGTTTTTTTTCTTTTTCTTTTCTTTTTTTTTTTTTTGAGCCACTATTTTATGTACACAAAGCTAGTCTCAAATTCAGTGTGTGGCCAAGGCTGATCATGAAGTTCAGGTCCTGCTTCTTCCATCTCCTGAGGGCTGGAGTTAAAGACACATGCCGTCCCCCTGTACTCCAGTTTCAGGAGATCTGATGCTCTCTTCTGGCCTCGCTAGCACTTGCAGACACATGCATACACACACACACACACACACACACACACACACACACACAACTGCTACCTGCCACGCAGCTGGAACCGTTGCACCTTCATGAAATATTGTCAATTGTGTTAGGGAGAGAGAGAGATGATCACCTCTCCCCAAGACAATCCCAAGACACCTCCTGCTTCCTCATTAGTCATGGCTGCTTTGCTATAGGATGCAGGAATCAGTTTGACAAGGATGATTGAGTTAGTGTACACTTCAAACTACTGTTTTCTTATTATGCATAAGTAAGTCTTGGTATGATGGGGCATGTTCACAGCCCCAGTACTCAGCAGCCTGAGGCAGGAGTTTGAGGCCAGCCTGAGATACACAGCAAGACTTTATTTCAAAGGGAACAGAAATTCAAAGTATCAGGTGGATACAGGTGAGAAAAGAGAACGATGAGGTGAAGAAGTGGAAGTAGGGGCTGGAGAGCTGGCTCAGCAGTTGAGAGCTGAGGTTCTTAAAATAGATGAGTTCCAGAGGTTTTCAGTTTGTTTCCCAACACTACCCTGGCAGCCCACGGCTATCTATAACCCCCATTCCAGAGCCTCAGACATTCTCTTAGACATGCATGCAAGAAAAACACATACACATAAAAAAAATAAAAACAAATGTTTTTAAAAGCAGAACTTACCTTCTAAATTTTCTACTAGAAAGTGAGATCAAATCTTTCATGGTAGGTATTTGGCATTTTTCAGCCAAGTCCTTCCTAGAGAAATCAAAGTTGGCTGTCAGCTCTAAAGGTCAGACTGGAATGTATCAACAGTCGCTCCACAGATTAAACTATTTTTTAATGGTTTTCTTTTTAAAAAAATATTTATTTATTATGTATACAATATTCTTTCTGCATGTATGCCTGAAGAGGGCACCAGACTTCATTTCTGATGGTTGTGAGCCACTATGTGGTTGCTGGGAATTGAACTCAGGACCTTCGGAAGAGCAGGCAATGCTCTTAACCGCTGAGCCATCTCTCCAGCCCCCCACAGATTAAACTATTTAATATGCCATGGGTCCCCAAACCACAGTTACAGGATCTTCCTTCCCTAAGGATGAACACAAATCTTTCATAGAAAACAAATCAAGAGGGGGTTAGAGAGATGGTTCAGCAGTTTAAGAGCACTGACTGCTCTTCTAGAGGTCCTGAGTTCAATTCCTAGCACCCACATGGTAGCTCACAACCATCTGTAATGGCTTTCAATACACTCCTCAGGCATGCGGACGTACATGCAGACAGAGCACTCATACATAAAAAATACATAAATAGATAAACATTTAAAAAGGAAGAAAATAAATTGAGAGGCTTGGGTGATGGCTCAGCCAGTGAAGTACTTGTCACGCAAGCACGAGGAATTGAGTCTGGACTGCATGGTCCCCATTTAAAAAATGAAGAATATTTAGGTACAGCAGTAATCTGATATTATCTCTGGGGAGGTAGAAATGGGAGGGACTCTGGGCTTCCCAATCAGCCAGTCTAGCTCAATAACAAGCTACAAGTTCATGTTGAGATTTTTCTTCTCCCCCTCCTTATCATCATCATCATCATCACCATGTTATCCAGCATGCACACACTAAGGAAATGAATATAATTTAAAACTATACAGTAGAGTGGACGGCTGGAGAGATGGTTTGGCAGTTAAAAGCGTTTGCTGCTATGGCAGATGACTCAAGTTTGGTTCCTAGCAACCACAATCATCGGTAACTCAAGCATAAGATGATCTGATGAACTCCTCTGGCCTCTGTGGTATTGTACACACATGTGCACATGCCTACCCCCACCCCTGCCAGCACATGTGCATATGATTAATAGATAATAAAATTTTAAAAATTTTCTAAAATGATAAGGTAGAGGAAGACACCCAACATTGACCTCTGACTTCCAAACTCACGCTCACATACGTGGGCACACACACAGAGGAACATGTTACACACAGAGACACACACACGCACGCACGCACCCACACACAGACAGTGAATTATGTCCACAAAGCTTCTCACAGGGGCATGTTAAGGATCGCATCTTTTCTTTGCTATGGAAGGGTCTGAATCATTACGGTCAATTGACTGGAACAGACGAAACATCTATTCTGTGTAAGTGATGCCATAGAATAGAAGGATACTCACAGCAACTGGAGTCTCTTGGAGAATGTAACAGCAATGTAGCCTTGCTGCAGTTTAGGATCCTTAGCAAGAATCTGACACACTTCTGAACTGGCATTCAAGGCCTTGTTCTCCATATCCTAAAACAGTGGAAAAACAGGAGCAGTGGAAAAGCAAAGGCTGGGACTGTTGGTGACTGGCATCTTCTCTAAGAGGGGAATGGCCATAAATCTCGTGGGAGTTTGAATGAGAATGTCCCCATTGGCTCAGATATTTAAACCCAGTGGGTGTGCTCTTTGGGGATGATACGGGGAGGTGCAGCCTTGCTGTAGGAAGTAAATCACTGGAGTGGGCTTTAAAAGCTCATAGCCTTGCCTCACCTCCAGGCTGTTCTCCCTGCTTCCTGTTTGCAGTGGAAGCTGTACTCTCTCACATTCCTTCTGCTGTTGTGCCTGTCTGCCATGAAGAACTCTTATCCCCTTAGGAACCATAGCCCACGCAAACTCCACATAAGATGCTTTTCATCCTGGTGTTTCTATCACAGCAGCAGAAAAGTGACGCATACAGGGGACCCTCCATCTCCATCAGAGCTCATGGGCATGATTGCACATGCCTGTAATCCCAGTACTAGGGGGCTGGGCCAGGGAAATCAGGTTCCTGGCCAGCCTGGGCTACATAGCAAGTCCTGCACCCCTAAACCAAACCAAACCAGTGGGGATACAGTTTGCAAGGCAAAGTGTTCAAATAGCACCATCTATCAAAACTTGCAGCAAACCATTAGCTGGCATCTTACCTGCACCACGCTTCTCCCAATCGCTATAGGCAGGACATAAATTCCAGGCATTGCCTTTTCAGCAAACTTTATAAAGGCTTCCACTTTAATATCTCCTAGCCAACAAAAACAATGATGGAAATCATGAATCAAAGCATTACTTTTAAAAGATTTTTTTTATTTCATGTATGTGGGTGTTTTCCTATATGTATGTCTATGCACCACTTGTGTGCACCTGTAGAGGCTAGAAGAGGATCTCAGGCCTTCTGAAACTGAGTTACTAACAGTTGTAAGCCGCCATGTGGGTGCTGAGAAGTGAACTCAGGTCCTCTAATGCTCTTACCACTGAGACATTTATCCAGCCTGGACAATTAGCAGATTCTTAAATCTAGCATTAAAAGAAATGTAATAGAAAGAGGCATTAATTTGGTATTTACATGCTTGTAGTGGCATTTCATTTGTATTTTAATAAATAAAGCGTGCCTGAAGATCAGAGGTAAAAGAGCCCCACTGGTCAGTCTTACAGACTAGGCAGTGGTAACACAAACTAATTGCCATAGCAACCAGACGGCGCATGATTTCAATCCCAGTGGTGTATACCTTTAATCCCAGTCCTAGAGAGTATTATAAAATGGGAGGAGACAGCTCTCAGTCTCATTCTGAGATTCCTGGAGGCAGAATCACCATTTCGGACTGAGGTAGAGGTAAGAGCCAGTGGCTGGCTGTTTTGCTTTTCTGACCTTCAGGTTGAACCCCAATTTCTGTCTCTGAGTTTTTATTAATCATGCTTCACATGTTGAAGAAAAATTTAAATGTCCTCAGTTCTGGAAACGAAACCATTGTTTCTATAAGGGCATAAGCATTGTTTGCACAGTAAAAGATCTGGAGTCCATAACATGCAGCAGCCTGAAGTCTGAGCAGAGCGAATGAGGCAGCGTTTGCTGGCGTTCATGGCAGACAGCACGTGCAAGGCAAAGTTCAAAAGTTCAGTGTTCAGACCCACGGCTCCAGTGGAGTGAGAGACGCAAACTCTGCCTGAACAAGTTGATTCAATTCACCCTCGATTTTGAGTTAATTTTTGATCTTTGAGCATTCAGAATCCTGTTGCCACATTATTCTCAAGCCCTACATTCAGTTATACAATCCTCCTTGCTGTCACAACCCACAGTAAAAGAAGCTGGAAGCTAGTAATAAGGTCTGCCTCCAGAATAAAAGAGAATATTTGTGAAACATGTATCTGAGTTCAATCACCAGAAGATATAAAGAATTCTTATAATTTAGGAAGACAAATAGTACAAAAATGTGTGAGGCCTTTGTGGCGGCACAAGACTGTAATCCCAGCACTCAAGAGGCAGAGGCAGGTGGATCTCTTGAGTTCGAGGCCAGCCTGGTCTGGTCTATAAAGTAAGTTCCAGGACAGCAAGGGCCACATAGTGAAATCCTCTCTAGAAAAAGCAAACAAACATGCAAACAAACAATCCCCCCCCCAAAAAAGAAATTGTGTGTGTGTGTGTGTGTGTGTGTGTGTGTGTGTATACCTGCATGTCTGTGGTAGTGGTGGTGGTGGTGGTGGTGTGTGTGTGTGTGTGTGTTTGTTTGTTGGGGTAGACCAAAAAGATGATTAAGTGGTTAAATTGTGTTCTGTTTTTGCAGAGAATTCAAGAATTCAAGTCCCAACACTAAGGTCTGTAACCACCTGTAACTCCAGCTATGGTTCAATTATTTCTTCTGTCCTCTGTGGGTTCCTCCACATAAGACACTCACAAAACACATGTACATAAATACATTTTTAAAAGATTTTTAAAATTTTTATTTCATGTCTGTGAGTGTTTTGCCTTTACGTTTGTATGTTCACAACCTGTGTGCCTGAAATCTGAAGAGTCAAAAAGAGGGCATTGATTCTTCTGGAGATGGAGGCACAAACAGTCATAAGCTGCCTCGTGGGTGCTGGGGATCCTACATGGGTCCTCTGCAAGAGCATTTAATGCTCTTAATTACGCAACCATGACTCCAGTCCCAGCTTGAAAAAACATGAAAATCGATCTTGCATGGTAGTGACTTTTTTTCACCATTCAGACTTTCTTCTGGAGGCAGAGGCAGTGAGGTCTCCGGGAGTTCAGGCCAGCCTGATCTACGTAGCAAGTTTCATACCTATAATGAGACCCTCACTCAAAATAAATAAATTGAGCTGGAACAATGGCTCAGCAGTTAAGAGCACTGACTGCTCCTCCCAGCACCCACAGGGTGGCTCACAGCTGTCTGTAACAATCCCAGGGGATCGGCCACACTCTTCTGCCCTCGTGGGCACCGCATGCACATGGAGCACAGATGTACATACAAGCCAAACACCTGTGCACATAAAATAAAAAATAAAACTCAAAAGCATCAAAATAAATGAAATCATAAACAAGGAAGTAGGAAAGGATGAAAAGACATGTGTCCAAGAAGACAGAAAATGATCCACAGAATCATCGCTCTTTAATGGAAAACAAGTTAAAACTGCAAAGTTCTGATTCCTACCCAGACAGACTTGAGGACGTGGAGAAACAGTGACACTAAGGCCCTATTGGTGGATGTAACCCCTGCGGAAAAGTGTGGCGCTGCCTAAAAGGTAACTAAGCATGTGATTGTTAAGTGACCCAGCAACTCCACTCCTGCCTTTATACTCAAGAAAAATGTAAACGTACATCGAGAAAAAAATTTACACAAATGTTTACAGATGTATTGTTGGTCATAGCCAAAGGTAGAAATAAGGCAAATGTCTATTACTGGGTGAAAAACCTGTGGTGTAGACACACAATGGGATACTGTTCACCCATGAACAGACATGAAGCACTGAAGCATGCTACAACCTGGATGACCCTCAGAGCATGTTCCATGCACTAACCCTACACAGTAGACAGACTGTCTGCTCCTTCACTTGTTCTGTCAGAATAAGGAACCACAGCAGAGAGAACAGGCAGGAGGTGATCAGGAGAGAGAGGAGGGGAGGAAACAAGGACTTAACCATGCAGAGGTTTGCCTGGGCTGACAGTCCTGAAACTACAGGGGAGCTGTGGTTGCCTCAGCTGTGACCAGGCTCAACCCCAACGAATTGTGCACTGAAAATGATGAAGCTGGTGTCACAGGAGTGTCCCCTCAGCGGAAACAGATAAAAGAACACTTCCTACATGACTCTGTCTGTCAGGTACTAACAAGCTGCAGAGGCCACGTGGGGGTGGAGAAGTCACCCCACTGATAGAGTGCTTGCCCAGCATGCACCAGGCCAGGGACAGGACCCCAGGACTGTATAAACTGGGTAAGGGAGCACACGTGGTCCCAGCTCTAGGGAAGCAGAGGGAGGAAGATTAGAAGTTCAGGGTTATTCTCAGCTACTTAACACAGTAAAAACAACAAAGAGGAGGTCAGGCGTGGTGACAATAATCTCATCACTCGGAAGACTGAAACAGGAAGATTGCCAGGACAAGCATAAGGGACATGAAGTGCCCGAGGCACACACAAGCAAAGGCTAAAATGAAATTCAACATCCCTGCTTCTCAGATCCTGACAGTGACCTGTGGTGCTTTACAAACAACCAGAGCTCAAAGAGCCTGCACCCCAAATGGACAAATGATGTCATAGGAGTCTCTGCTCAACATATTGTGGGGTTCCCACCTTTTTTGCTCAAACGACTACACAGAGGGCAGAATGAAGGGAGCGCAGGTGATGGTTTTTAATTGTGGTGAAAGTGCCCCACCCCTTCTGGGGTGCAGTTCTCTCTAAGAACCAACCTGCTGTGTTTCTGTCCACAGTGTCTATTCTTCATTAAACTCTTATGTCAGTTCTGCCCTGGTGAATTCTTTCACCCCTGCACCACAGCATCCAGAACAGCACAGCTTTGCTCAGTGCAGCCGGAGTGCTGGCAAGGGCAGCGTCTTTCTCGCGTCCTCTGTGAGCTGGCCTTTAGCCCTGGGCTCTGAAGCAGCCTTGCAAGGGCTGTCTGTATTCACTGACTCTAATTCCTCTCTGTGGTTTTCTTTAACCTATTTCAAAAAGATCAACCTCAAAGTGCTTTTGTCAAGATGAACACATGTCTTCACATGGCTAAGTTTCCAGGCTGCTCCTGACGGACCTGTCTCCCTTTGGTCCACTGACCTGCTGTCTTTCTTCGTGTAGATGGTGGCGGTGGGATTTTTTTTGTTGCTGATTGTTTTTGAGTGGGGTATCACTCCACAGTGTGCAGAAACTCACTAAAATTCTCTCTGGATTATCCACCCTGGCCTTGAACTTGCAGCCATCTATCTACCTTCCTGGACCTTCCCAGCGCTTGGGCTGCAGGTGTCAGCTATCACTCTTGGCTTGTCACTCTTCAGGGAACATTTCCTTCAGTGGCTTCAGGACACTGAACTCTCCTGACCTCCCTTGCCCTCAAGATGTTCCCTCTTGTCTCTCTCCCGGGCTGTTTCGTCCTTATCAACTCCACCTCCAGAAGGTGGTGTCTCCACTCCTGGCACATTCACTCCTGGGGTGGCCCTACCCGATGACAGGACATTAAATTCAAGCCAAAGGCCTTGAACTAAAGTCCCCACCCTTGAAAAACCCTCACCTCCCAGGTCTGTGAAAAGGACGTCAGAGTTACTATATACAAAGCTGGTGTGTGATCCCATCACTCCAGGGTGGGACAGATGGGTCCTGATTCAGTGTCAGCCTAGACTACGCACTGAGCCTGGTTCCAAAATAAAGTGCCCCACACCCTCCCCGAAACATGTGCTGGGTATTGCAGTACACTTTTTGTAGCCCCGCAACTTGGAAAGAAGAAGCAGGATGAGGAGTTCAAGGTTACCTTGGGGACCCTGGCCTTTCAACTGTAGGATTCCCAACGGTAATTCTAACACTGAGAAGGTTGAGGCTAGGGTATCACTGGGGTATTTGAGGCTAGCCTGGACTACATAGTGATCGCCAAGACAGCCTTGAAAACAAAGAAAGATCCCGTATTTAAATAAAATATAAAACATAGGAAACAAGGAGAAAGGAAAGCATAAAGTCCACCTTTGGCTACATATCAAGATCAAGGACATCCTGGGCTACATTAGACACCCTCGCCAAAAATCAAATTAGGCAGGCATAGTAGCACATGCATGAATCCCCGCACTTGAGAGGGAGAAGAAAGAGGAACAGGATTTCAAGGCTATCCTTGGCTACATTGAAAATTCTGTGTTACCATGATCTATATGGGATTAAAGAAGCCAATAGGCAAGGCTGGCATAGCGCATGGTGCTACAGTGGGCACAGACACATGTTGCCAAGCACAGTGACTGAGCTTGATCCCTGGGATCCACATAGAAGAAGGAGAGAACTGATTCCCAAAAATTATCCTCAGACCTCCACGTGTGCTGACCTGGGCATTCTTGCATAAGAGGTCATGTGCAAACGTGAGCGTTCGCGCACTCACACGCACAAACACACACGCACACATACAGACACCCACACACACACGCACACACACACACACACACACACACACACACACACACACAAGTACTCCTCAGATGTTCTCATCTTATAAGCTACTCCATCTTGGTAGCTTCACTTTCTAATTGTCCTAGTTCAATTCCAGGTCCTTACACTAGTCTTGAGAGCCCCAAGAGATGTGCCCACCCTCTCTTCCCCTGCTCCTCTGCCCCTGTCCTCTGATCTGGACGCTTCCAGGCTCAGCTCTGGGCCTTTGCCTCTGCTGTTCCTCTGACCACACATCCATATGGCGTCTTCCCTCACGCACTTCAGATCTGCTCAGTGGTCACTCTCTGGATGTGTCCTCTCCTAACACTGTCCCCTGACAGAGCAAGCTCCCACCTCCAGCTCTGTCTGAGCGCTCACCAAAGACACGTGGCTCCCTCCCCTCCAGTGCTCAGGGGTCCTCAAATTCCAAAACCTCAGACTAGGCAGGGGCTGCGGTATCACCGTCCTCGCCGTCCGGCTCTGACTTCGCAGGTGGGAACCCAGGTTGGGGAAGGAAGAGGGGCACCTGCCCTGCACCCATTTGCTCTTCACTCACCTATCTCATACCAGAACACCAGGGGTGATGGTGATTCTGCCTGTGGGTCCAGACGCCCCAACGCCCAGGTGTTGTAACACCAGGACAGAAGACAGACGGCCAGGAGCCACCAGGAACCACGTAACACCATCTTAGCTCAGGGACACCAACAGGTTCTTGTGTCCCTGGGTGGCAGTCAGGGTGCCTGCAGGGACCTAGGAGGCCACGCCCCTGCCAGGTGCCACAGCCTGAGCAGTCCCTGCACAAGACCATTGCTGACGTGTATTTATTCAGAGCTTAGCACAGCCCAGCACTGCTCTTCTGCCCTTCAACTGATCTTATGCAGTGATCCCTTCTTTCTTTCTCTTTTTTTTACAGTTATTTATTTATTTATTAAAAATTTCCACCTCCTCCCCGCCTCTCTTTTCCCTCCCCCTCCCCACCTCTCCCTCCCTCTCTAGTCCTAAGAGCAGTCAGGGTTCCCTGCCCGTTGGGAAGTCCAAGGTCCTCCCCCGTCCATCTAGGTCTATAAAGGTGGACATCCAAACAAACCAGGCTCCCACAAAGTCAGTCCATGCAGTAGAATCAAAACCCAGTGTCATTGTCCTTGGCTTCTCAGTCAGCCTTCATTGCCAGCCACATTCAGAGGATCCGGTTTGATCCCATGCTCCATCACTCCCAGTCCAGCTGGCCTTGGTGAGCTCCCATTAGATCAGTCCCACCGTCTCAGTGGGTGGACGCACCCCTCACTGATGAATATCTTGCATATCACTATAGAACCTTCATCTGGCGATGGATGGAGATAGAGACAGAGACCCACATTGGAGCACTGGTCTGAGCTCCCAAGGTCCAAATGAGGAGCAGAAGGAGGGAGAACGTGATCCCTTCTTATATGTAAGGACATGGAGGTGACAGACGGTTTTAGTGTCATCAAGAAAGCAAACAGTGCCTCCTCTCCCATCCGTGTCTTCGTAGAGGAGCTAACCGTTCTTTGACAACTGTCTCACTTCTTCTGAAATGACTTTCCTCCTGTTTACTTGGTACCCCCTCCAAACAGCCGACCTAAAATGCTGTCCTCCGGCCCCTGACCCCTTTCATCCAAATTCATTCTTGCCACCAGGACTGCGACATTGGCATCACTTGGAACCTTCCTCCAGACAATCTGTCCCTCACTCCCCTGTACACCGACACGTCCTAGGTCTCACATATTCCAGAAACTTTTGTTGACCAAGAGGTGACGAAATGTTCCACAATGTGAAGCCTAATCTCAACATCCCCACACACCTGCCCTTCCTCGCTCCTTCTCTCTCTCTCTCTCTCTCTCTCTGTGTGTGTGTGTGTGTGTGTGTGTGTGTGTGTGTGTAGCCCTGACTGACCTGAAACTGGCCATGTAAACAGGCTAGAATCAAACTCACAGACATCCACCTCCCTCAGACTCCTGAATGCTTGGACCACCACCACAACTGGCTTCTAAACTGACCCCTTAAAACACCTTTTATTTTGACCACTGCTCAGCGCAAGACCTGGGCTTCCTATCTTTATCCTCACAATGACTTGTGTATCTTTCCTACAGCTGGGAACCATGTCCCTTGTCCATCTACCTCTGACAAGCAACCCAATTCCCAGCCAGCACCTCCTCCTAGACTCCACCAGCTGGACTACCCACACCCAGCCATGTACTGCCTGTCTCTCAAAGTCTCTCCGGGGCTCAGATGCATTCTTCTGGCCTCAGTGGACACTGCACTCATATACACAACCCACCCCACATATTTACATATAAAAAAAATAAAATGTCCTCTCTCTTTAATTTTTTTATATTTTGAGACAACGGCTTACTATATAGTTTTGACTGTCCTGGAACTCACTCTGTAGTGTGAGCTGCCACACCAGCAACATAAACTTTTTTTTTTTAGAAAATTGAGAGTGTTGGTATAAACCTTTAATCCAAGTATTTGGGAGTCAATGGAAGAAGGATCTTTAGGAGTTCAAGGCCAGTCTGGCCTACAGAGAGAGCTCTAGACTAACCAAGGCTGCACAGGGAGACCTTATCTCAAAAGTAAACAAGCAAATAAATAAAATGAGTTCAAGAGAAAACTAAGTGGAGGGGTAGTAGAAACATCAGGTGCACACCATGGTTTAAGAATTTTTTTCTCTAATGAGGTACTGTTAAATAGAATCACTAGCAGAGGAAAGTTGACCTTCCAGAATCCAGTTTGTTTCCCCCACTGTGCCAAATATATATAACATAAAATTAATTATCTTGCTACATTAAAAAAAATTCAGGCAGGGCAATGGTAGTACATGCCTTTAATCCCAGCACTAGGGAGGCAGAGTCTGGTGGGTCACTGTGAGTTCGAGGACAGCCTGGTCTACAAATTGAATTCCAGGGCAGCCAGGACTATTACACAGAGAAACCAGTCTCAGAACATCAAAAAGAAAATCCTTTTTTTTTAAAAAAAAAAATGTTTCTGGTTATATTGCTTGCAAGTATGTCTGCACATTGTTGTGGGATTCCCTTCTGTATGCTGTGAATACCATTGGTTAATAAAGGACTGCTGTGGGCTGGAGAGATGGCTCAGAGTTTAAGAGCATTAACTGCTCTTCCAGAGGTCCTGAGTTCAATTCCCAGCAACCACGTGGTGGTTCACAGCCATCTATAATGAAATCTGGCGCCCTCTTCTGGCATGCAAACATACATGGAAGAAATGTTGTATATATAATAAAATAAATCTTTTTAAAAAAATAAAATAAAGGACTGCTGTGAGCCTATAGCAGAGCAGGGCAGAATGAGCTAGGCTGGGGAGGGGGGACTAAAGTGAATGCTGGGAGAAAGAAGGGCGGAGTATGGAAGAAACCATGGAGACAGATGCTGGGAATTTTACCCAGTAAGCCACTGCCACGTGGCAATACACAGATTAATGGAAATGAGTTAAATTAAGATATGAGAGTTAGCCAATAAGAAGTTAGAGCTAATGGGCCAAGCGGTGATTTAAATAATATGGTTTCTGGGTGATTATTTCAGGGCTTAGTGGCTGCGAACAAACAAGCAGCCTCCTACAATAGCACACCTCATGTGTCCCTGTGTCAGAAGGAGGCCAAATGAAGAAGATGTATGTCTGGAACTGAAGTTGCAGTCATGTGAGTGTTGAGAATTTAACCTGAGTTGTCTGGAAGAGTGGTCAGTGCTCTTAACTACCAAGGCATCTCTTCAGCCCCTGACTTTTTTTTTTTTTTTGAGACTGGCCTGGTATAAATTGGCCTGAAACTTAAAAAAATCATATTGCTTCTGCTTCCTTCTGAGTGTTGGGATTACAAACCAAAAGTGTGTGTGTGTGTGTGTGTGTGTGTGTGTGAGAGAGAGAGAGAGAGAGAGAGAGAGAGAGAGACTTTTGTGTGTGACTGTGTATAGTGTATGTGTACATGTGTGCAGGTGTGCATGCATGTGTGCATGCAGAGACCAGAGGACGATGTCAGGTGTCCCATGCTACCACACCACCAGATTCCCGTGAGTCTGGAGCAGAGATGAGGGCCAGCAAGCCCAAGCAATCCTCTAAAACTGGGATTATAAGTGTGTGTAGACCCCACCCAGTTGTTTATGTGGGGTCTCCAGGTCCTTGTGCTAGCTTAGCAATCACTCTTAACTGATGAGCCGTCTCCCGAGACCCTATCTTAGTTTTCTTTTTTTTCAAAACAGGGTTTCTCTGTGTAGCCCTGACTGTCCTGGAACTCACTTGTAGACCAGGCTGGCCTCAAAGATCTGCCTGCCCCTGCCTCCCAAGTGCTGGGATTAAAGGTGTGTGCCACCACCGCCTGGCCCTAGCTCCTATCTTAATATTTGTTAGTGTATTATTTAAAGGCATTGAGTCCATGTTATTGTTTTTAAGACTTATTTTTATTATTTTTTTTAGTAATGTGTAGTTCTGTATGGCTTGTGGAGGTGTGCAAACTTGTGTCTAGATGCCCACAGAGACCAGAATGTCTGATCCCCTAGAGAAGGAGTTACAGAAGGCTGTGAGCCACCTAACGTGAGTTCTAGGAACTGAACTCAGGTCCTCTGGATGAGCAACAGGTGCTCTTAACTACCGGGACATCTCTTCAGCTCTTGAGTCCATATTGTACAGCTGTCACCACCATCCATCTCCAGAGGCTTTTTCATTTTTCAAAACTCAAACTCAGTACCCACTTGTGATGGCTAGTTTTATGTCAGCTTAACACATCTATCTGAGAGGCAACCTCAACTGAGAAAAAACCATCTCCATCAGATCAGGCTGTGAGCAAGAGTGTAGGGCGTTTTCTTAATTAGTGATTGATATTGGAGGCCCTGCCCATTATGGGTGGTGCCTACCCTGGGCTGGCGACTGTGCTCTATGTGAAAACAGATTGAGCCATGGAGAGCAAGTCAGTAAGAAACCCCCCCTCCATGGCCTCTCCAGCAGGTCCTGCCTCCCGGTTCCTGCCTTGTTTGAGTTCCTGCCTTCACGTTCTTTAGTGATGGACTCTGATGGGAAGTGTAAGCAAGATACACCCTTTCCTCCACAAGTTGCTTTTGGTCATTACAGCAATTCTCAGCCTAAGATGCCACTAAGCAACGACTCCTCATTCCCTGTGGTGGCTAATATTGATTGTTAACTTGTCGGAATCTACAACTGGCTAGGAGGCAAACCTCTTGGCATGCCTATGGGACAGTTTTTAGATTGAGAATACTGAGGTTGGAAGATTTGCCTTAAATGTTGGTGGCACCATTTCATAGGCATGGATTGCACACGCCTCTGAGCTAGTGTGAAGAAAAAGGAGAAAGGAATCTGAACAGCAGCCTTCATCCCTCTTTGCCTCCTGGCTGTGGATGCAATGTAACCAGCTAACTCAGTCTCCTACCACCATGCCTTCTCTGCTATAATGGACTGTGCCTTCAAACTGTGAGCAAGGGGCCAAGTGTGGTGGTGCACATCTTAAATCCCAACAGCCAGAAGGCAGAGGCGGGCAGATCTCTGTGAATTCAAGCCAGTTTGGTCTACATAGTGAGTTCCAGATCAACCAGAGCTTTGTAGTGAGACTGTCTCTATGATAGACAGACAGACAGACAGACAGACAGACAGACAGACAGACAGATAGATAGATAGATAGATAGATAGATAGATAGATAGATAGATAGGTATAGATGGTCCATAGATACATGGATGGATGGATGGATGGATGGATGGA